GTTATTTTGAGGGGGGGAAATCTACGAAAATCCGTTTTTAAAATTATTGCGAAAAATCCAAGAAAAACGTTCTTTGATAAAACGTTTCTTCTTGGATTTTTCGCAATAATTTAAAAACGGATTTTCGTAGTTTTCTTTTTTGTCAAAGAACGTTTCTTCTTAACACGTGTTTCTCAATTTCCTGTACACATCGCGGAGAGGGAAATTCTGGCCGTTCTGTCATCAAATCCCTTGGCAAATTTTCCCTCCGCTTTTTACATAGACGTTCTTTGGTCAGAATAATCTCCATGTATGGTACAGCGGGATTTGGCGACATGATGATGAGCAGTAAACGGGTCATTTTGTTCTTGGCGACAATTTTCAAAATCATGCGAAGGCCGTATCGTATACTAGGATTTTGCCGAAAAATCTTTTTTTTTTTTTTTTTTTTTTTTTTTTTTCTTTTCTTTTTAATAAATACCTTGTCATTTTGCAGTAAAATAAAAAAATAGTAATCAATCATCTAGGATAACCATGTAATATAACTACAGTGTCTCACAAAAGTGATGGGACACTTGTGCTTTACGAAAGGGAACTGTAGTAAAATAAATTTAAAAAACATGTAAAAATTTTTTGGGTGTGTTTTCATACTTAATTTAGTAACAATTATACATAACATACATTTTCTCAAATATTAAAATAGTATTTATAAAATACAATTGTTTAGAAAGGAGCAAAAATGGCTCACATAAGTGATGGGACACTTACTTTTCCATCAATATTTTATCAAAAATTTACTTCTTAAAAAATGTTTTAATATTTGATTGATTTCCTTTTACTTTTAAAACGTGATTTAAATCTTCTTGGATGGTTCGACTAATTTTTTTGTGATTTCTGGAGCGATTTTAACCCCATTCTTTTTGAAGCAGTGATTTGATTGTTGGTTTGAAGAATGGTGTGTTTGCGAATTCTTCTTGATTCCAATTCTTGCCAAATATTCTCTATGAGATTTAAGTCTGGAGATTGTGTTTTATTATTTCAGGACAGTTATACAGCAGCCAGAGTTCTAACGTTCAAAGCAGTGTGCTGGGTCATTGTCCTGGTAGAATTTAAAATCGTTATGAAGGATCAATTTTGTACTGAAGATTTCAAATTTTGATTTAAATGTCAATATACTTCTACTGATCATTATATACTGTCAAAATAAAACAGATTACCACTCCAGCAGATGAATAACCCCCATACCATAACTTCTCCTCCACCATGTTTTACTGTTGGCACCAAGTTCTGTTTGAGAAATTCTTTCCTGGGTTTTCTCTACACCAAGATTCTATCGTCAGAACCAAATATATAAATTACTCTATCGGCAATATAACTTCATTCCAGTGATCAGAGTTCTTATTTAGTTGGATTTTGCGAAAGCCAGTTCTGAGTTTTCTATTCTTTTCACTTACGAAGAATTTTTCCCGGCTGCTCTACCGTGATATCCAGCAATGATTACTCTTCTAATAGTCTCAGGTTTAACAATTACTCCATATAATGGCTTGTAAATCAGCAGCAACTTTAGGACACTCATTCTGGATTTTTTTTTTTTAATTTGAACAATAATTCGCTTTATTCCATTGGATAGCTTTGATGGTCGGCCAGGTCTTCTTTTATCCTGAACATATGATTCTTTTTAATATCGTTTAATGATATTGAAACCTGTTGAATGACTCAGGTTAACTGTTTTCAGCAGTTTCTCTAATAGTTTTCCAGGTTCAATATGCAAATTAATAACTAATTTTCGAATTTCAGCAAAGTTTCTTTTCGTTTAGCATTCATGGCTGCACAGAGCTAAAAAAACACTAAAATTCCAAAACAAACTGGGAGAGAAATACTGCAGACTATTTTATAAATTATTGCTAATTGCTTTTGAGTAAAAATAAAACCCCCAAAAATATTTTTATTGTAGTATGTAGTAGTATCTAATGGTTCCCATCACTTATGTGAGCCATTTTTGCTCCGTTCTAAACAATTGTATTTTTATTAATTTAATATTTTTATTTGAAAATGTATGCTATGTAATAATGTTACTAATTTTAAGTATGAAACACACCACAAAAATGTTTACAGTTTTTAATTTATTTTATTACAGTTTCCTTTTGTAAAGCACAAGTGTCCCATCACTTTTGTGAGACACTGTATATTCGCTAAAATATCGTTGATTATTCTAATTAAATTTTAAAGTAATTATCTTTATTTTTATGTTATTCATATCATTTAATGTTGCTTCTTCCCTCTAAATTTATTTATCATTAGTAAATAATATTTCCAAATTTCAGGAAATTTTCTCTGGCATAATCCTGAAATTAATTCTAGCAGTATGATGACATCATGAAATTTAATGCACATATTTTTTCCTTGTGTATGCTGCAAAATAAATATAAAATACCTCAGTTTAGTAAAAAATATCATTAAATAGATTTCTTCTTTTCTTTATTTCTTTGCTTTCGTTTAAAAAAGCTTATTTTATTCCAGATTGGGCAGATTCTAATCTCAATCTTCAGTGGAGAAAACAACTCCTATTATAATTATATTTGTGTTTTCAAGTGTTAAGGTGCCTTTTAAGAATACACCTCACACAAATTAAATTTACCTAAAATCTAACCTAACTTTTAGCATTGCGTTGTGATTTATAAGAACCGGATTAGCCTCGTGTTGAACTGGGGATGATCGTGAGTAATAATTAAATAAAACGTACAGTTGTTATCCAATGTATAGATCTTAAATCTTATTAAGTTTTTTAAGCAGAAAAGTAAACAAAATTATCAAACAAAGTGTACCAAGAATAATTAAGAATAAATGTCCTCTGGGATTTACTGAGTAATTAAGTGAATTTGCTACACAGTACAAGTAATACCATAATTAATTTACCTCTTAGCACAGCCAACGTACATTACGCGGATAGACTGGAATTTTCTCGAAACATACCTGGAAAACCTGGAAAAGTCAGGGAATTTCATTCTTCTGTTTGAGTGGCAACCCTGTCGTTCTGAATTGTAATACTGGAAACAAATGGTTATCTGGATGCATCCTTGTTATATTTCGGGCATTTGGCATATGCCATTTCAACTAGAATTCATCATGGATGAATGGTGATCAAATATTATTCTTCTGGATTGCTCTGTGCAGTGAAATGAAGGTCAGTCACCTACCTCATGTCTTGACAGAGCGATGAGAATGGCACAAAAACTTCCTTCATTCTTCAAGATTCATGAAAACTTTATTATTCATGTTGATATTTCTAACAGTTGACTGCAACTTCAGGAAGAATGGGTTTATATATATCACTTTGCAAACATTTAATAAATTCTTTTTTATATAAAAGGTACTAAAAGTGAAAGAACTTTCTTCTGAAACAATTACGCATGACAAGCAAAGAAAAGTTCCGCCGCCATACACTTCTCAGCTGCCTCTTGTTTCAAAAGGGCAAAAAAACCAGTCAGATGAGATATTTTAACCAAGTATCATTATCACAAAGTAGAATAGGAAATTTGATTTTAAAAAAGTGTGAGGATTACGCTAACATTCTCTCCAGCCATTGAAGAAAAAGCACAGTCATATCGTAGAAACTGAAGACTTGAAATCACTGCAGTGTTGCCACAAGTCTTTCTAGACACACTCTGATGTTATTTCTTACCACATTGCCACTACACTTTCACTATTCACACATGTATGATCTATCTCCACACTTTCAATTTTTGCAGGATATATTCACAATTTAAGTGCATTTATGATCTGACATTGCACTTTTACAAAATTATGCTATTTTCACAATTGTATGCTTTTGTGCTTTGACACTACACAATTGTTTATATATATTTACTACATAAGTAATTTAAATTACAGAGTTTAATTAATGCATACAATTTCATCCTAATTTTAGGCATGGTATATCTGTACAATAATCAATTAATACCTGTTAACACACTTTAAGATTCTTTTATGAGACAGACAGATTTAATGGTAATAGGTCTATGTCAATAGGTTTTCATTTTCAGGACATTTTGTGATAGCTTTCTAGCTACTACTAGCTAGTGATTCGAGAGCTCAGCTCTCGAATAACCTGTTTGAATAATTTACTAATAGGAATTTTTTTAGTTTTATTATTATTTATATTTTAAATTAAGTAATTGTCACTGCAAAAAAGTCTTATCATTTTGAAAGGTCTAGTATATTTCTCTTGCAAAGTATGAGGTGGTTGTAAAATTTTGAAAAATACCTGATCTTGAATTTTGGCCTTTCTCTGCCTTTCACATTTTTTTCTTTGTTCTTAAAGTACTTTTCCTCATTTAGTTTGACTAAATTTCTGGTTGCTATAATGCTCTGTCTGCTTTCTGACAAATCAAGCACTGTGAAGAATTTTCAACTACTGATGGATAATTTTGTATATCCCTAAGTATATTTAATTCTCTATCAAAACATAATTGTGCAGGAGTAAAACCTGAACTATATGCTCTGAGTTATGAGTTATTATAATGAAGTTTAAAAAATGTTAGCCTATCTGACCATTCTATAAAGATATGTAAAAGACGATATGCTTTCTTTCATTGTTCGATTAACTCACTCTATGGTTCTATTAGGTTGTGGATAATAAATAGAATTTTCCCTTAGCTCAATGTCCACATACTTTCCAAAACTTTCAAATTGCTCTCACAATATTGCTTTTGAAAATATTCTTTTTACTTAAATAGTATATTTTGCTAGCCATTGTATCTTATTCATCACCACTGTAAGTCAGAAGTTTGGAAAGCTGGGCATGGGATTAGGGAATAAGGAAATAAATATGATATGTTGTTTTATAATGAATTCTTGGCTTAACTGTTAAAGAAATGTGTAATTCAAATAAAAGCTTTACCCAAATTCAAACTTGTTAGATTTAATTATACTACTGGTGTAGATTGAATGATGCTGTTCTGGTCACACCAAATGATGTTAATTAAATCTAAGAGTTTTAATTAGATTTTTTTTACCAATAGGGACGAAGCACTAGCTGCTTTGAATGAAGCAATAATGGTTGCTCAAGAAGTAAATGATAATGTCTGTCTTCAGTATTCTCTGGTAAGTCTAGCAGAGTTCTTTTATGTAAATCCTTCCAATTGAAAATGTAACAAATTAAACTACGAAATATAAATTTAATTATTACTCAAGTTTTATAAGTTTAAAGTTCTACTTTAAAATTCTTGCCAAACCTAAACTTATATATAAATTATCGAAGAGGAAAGCTGAATTATAATTTGTAATAAAAAAGGGGAGAGAAAAAATGAAATGGTATTGATAAAATAAAATATTTCACAAAATATTGATTATCTTTAATGTTTACATGAAAGAAGTGTTAATCTTAAGTTTTCAGGTAAAATAAGTATTAGTTTAAGTAAAATTGGTAAACTGTTGTTAGCCTAATGATGACTTGAAGATTTGATTTAAGACTTTAAATCTTTGTTTTTAATATTGATTTTCGTGATTTTCATATTTTTAAGGCATGGCTGTACAGATTAACTGTTGATAACAAAGAAATTTTGATTGAGAGATCTATTGCAAAATCAACTGAACTTGGACTTTGGGTAAGAATTCATTTATTAACTTAAAAAGAATGTTTTTTCTTCTGTTTATGTTGTTTTGAATTTGTACAATCATTTATGTACATGAAAATCCTTACTCCTTAAGTTAATTGTACCTATGTTAAATGTATATATAATAAGATGACTTGGAGAGAAAGTTGTAACAGATTAGTGATGGTTTTACTGTATAGTTAAAAAGATGACACTCAAAGACAGACATAGCCTAAATTCTGCACATAATTTTATTCCTTAATGATGCAAATCATCACTGTGGGTGTGCTATGCACCCCACAATTTTATACAGCTTACATCTTCTTAAACAATGGAAGAAAATGGCTAAAAAAATGCTATGTGGTTAGCAACAAGGCAATGTAGCAGAAAGAAGCAAAAGAGAGAGGGACTTAGACTCGATATTATGATCGGGCTATTGCTAGGAGCAACATTGCTGCTTCAATGAAGTGATGCCTGAAGGCACATGACATAATGAGCACTTGATGTGGATAAAAGAGAGAGAGTTAAGGCAATTACCTTTTATACCAGATTGCATTTTAGATCACATGACAGGCTAATGTCCAGATGTTGGTTTAAGATTTCATCAATAAGTGAGCAATAGAGATTAAATGATGGAACTTTTTCCTTCAGTTAGAAAAATTATTGCTCTGTTATATTTAGAATGAAGGCAGTTGTTAAAGGGCTGCTATTAATTTATAAGTTTAAAAATAGATATTTTACATATATATGTATAATAGAAACAAACTTTAAGTAATCAACAGCAGGGATTTTGATGGTGTAAAAATGTTTATCCTTAAAGAATAGGAAACTGGGAACCGAATCAGATTAATCTTCATTTCAATTCAGTAGACGTGTTGCGGTCACAAACAAGTTGGCACATTATTTATGCCTATTTCAAGAGGTTTACATTTTTGATAACTTTGCAGTAAGAAGGAAGTAGCAGTGAGCAGACCAGCTAAGCAGAAGAGTAGCAAGCAAGTGTTTTATGTTCAGGGTGAAATATTTGAGTTAGTTTTTATTCTCAATGCATTTTGATTGGGTAATTAATGCTGCTGCAAAATTATTATTGGCTGCTTGAGTTTTAGTTCCATTTACATCATCTGAATTATGTAAGAGTCGTATGACATGGATTAATCTCAAAATGATGTAGTGCAGAGAGCGATTACTATTTTTAGAATAGAGAAGAGAAGTTAATTTATGCTGCTAATTTAAATTTTATCTTTTACGTATTCTTTATTTTCCTTACACACATACACACACACACACACACACAATATATATATTATATATTAAGATCATACAACTTATATATATATATATATACTGTGTTTTATTACTTATTTTATTTAGGAAAAATTTATTTTTGTAGTGCTTAGCCTCTCTTGGCATACAGGCCTTGACAAAGCTGAAATCCTTCACTACTGCTCTGCCTGCAAGGTAGTGTGAAATTCTTTCCTTAAAAATTAACTTATATCTTTTTATTTCTTCATGTTAGTATGAATTTTATTTGTTTTCTGAATTCCTTTGTACATATTTTTTTTCATAGTGTTTTTGATTTGTTAACAAAAAGTGATGTCCAGAATTGTCAACATTCTATGACTGATATGTTAGGTCCTGCTTATACTTTACGGGCTGGATTATGGTCTTATTATGGACACAGGTAGACATAATTACTGTGTTAATTTATTATTATTTCATTTTTATTTTAGTGCATAACACCAACATGTGGTTTATTTTTTAAGTTATTCATTTAATTTGCAATAAAATATTTTAATAGTAATATTATTATGTAATAGAAATATTGGTATTTTACTGTTATTGGGGCTGCAATGATAAATATATGTATGCATGTGTATATGTTCAGGATTTGTATGAAAAAGTATTGGGAAACATTTAAGGGAAAAAAAATTATTTGAGATATTACTACAATACCTCAAAAGTCTTCAAAATACATCCCTTGAGTATCAAAACACTTTTGCCATTGGCATTTTCTGCAACTCAAAGGCTCCCTGGTAGGTAGATTCTGGAATATTCTTAGGAGTATGTGTGCAAGCTTCATTGACAGTACTTAGGGTCCCATGATGGTGTATTTTGAAAAACGATTTCATTTTTCAGAATAGGGAAAAATCTGCTGGTGTCAAGTTGGGACTGTAGGGAGGTTGTGGAATCTTCACGATGACATTTATCATCAGGTAATCTGTAACCTTGGAGCAGGTGTGGCTGGTTGCATTGCTGTGATGCAATTTCCACCGATGGCTGGCCTCACCTGGTTGACCCTTCTCTTCAGTCTTTTTAGTTCTTCTAGGTAAAAACCACCATTCACTGTCTGCCCCTGAGGTATGAATTGGTAGTGAACCACCCCCTTAGTGTTCAAGAAAATGATGAGCATAGCTTTTACTCTGGATTTACTCATCTGAGCCTTTTTTGGGTGAGGTGATGCCAAAGTATGCCATTTGGAACTTTGTTGCTTTGTTTTTTAAATATCAAAGTTTCCCTTCCCATGATTATGTTGTCTAAAAAGCTGGGGTCTTCTACAACATATCATGTTACATGATGCAGGTCTTTGCATGCAGACACTTGCCTGTGCTTTTCCTTATCTATCAAGACCTTCGTGATAGGTCGAGTGCATCATATTGTCAAATTTTCAGTGATAATGTTGTGCACAGTTATCTTATCAATGCCAATTTCATCTGCGACCAGCACTCACTTGATGGACGGTCTGAGCACTTCATGCACACGTTGTACATTTTCTTTAGTTCTTGACATTAATGGGTGCCCAAGGCAGGGCTCATCATATAAACTCTCTTGGCCATCTGCGAAGATCTTGATTAAAAACTGTAGTTTTTGACATTCTTTCATTCTTACTTGGCATAATACTTGGCAAATCTTACAATTGTCTCTGTACTCAGTACAAAATTTAATGGCATATCACTGTTCAGTTGTTTGCTGCATTTTGTGTTCGAACTAAGTCACTGGACAAGTGTCCACTAAAAACACGATCTAGCCTGAACGAATGCTCACAAGTAACTGACACATATTGAAGGTCATATCCTCCACCACCATGTGAGCATGCTCTGATGTACAATCGCATCGGAAAGCATTGTTCCCAATACTTTTTATACAAACCTTTTTTATGTGTATGTATATGTGTATACAGACACACACACATACATATGTACGTAAATACATGCACGCATACATATATGTCTACTTACATACATTTCTGAATCTGGTCCCAATAACTGAATTGAAATGAAGTATTTAAGTAAAATTTATTCATTAAAAAAAAAGGATCTAAAATTTAAGCTATGTTTAATTTAAAATTACTTAGTAATGTGATTTCATTTTATGTTTAGTTTCATATGGAATTTTCAGATTCTTAAATTTGAAAGTATTAATTTTTTTAAATATTTTTTATAGTTTTTTATACTTCGTTTATGATTTTGTATATTACCTTAAATTATTATTTCTTGTGTACATTATCACAATAGAATGTTTTCAGATGTTAAATTATAGGTAGAAGTTATATATTTGATGCTTAATGCTGTAATTGAAGATTAGGAAATATATTATGACACTCATTATTGATTTTTATGATGGTTGAAAATAAATAAATAGTAAATTTTGAAAATTATTAACAAGTGCTGTTGTTTGTGTCAAATATATTTATCAGTCACATTTTCTTAAAATTCGAAGATCTCATTAAATATTCTAATATTTCTTTATTGTATTTCGTCTTAGTTACATAGTAAACTTTCTTAAGTAAAAAATATTTTTCAGCATGATGATGAATTTAGCAAGTCAAATGTTGCTGTTTATGAATACTTCTGATCCTGTTCGTGGTGGAGTATATCATATTGGAGAAGGTACTTGTCTAGCATTAAGAAATATGGCAGTATATTATGCTGCAGAGGTAAAGATTTTCATATATTTTATTAAATTTGTGAATATTTATTCAATGTGTTCTTATTTATTTTGCTTTAAAAAATGCAACTTTTTAATGATTTTTAATATAATTTAAATATTTTATTCATTATATGTAGTATTTATTGTTAATGTACTTTATGGAACTTCTTTTATGTATTTTATTGCTTTATATTTTACTGATGTGGTAGTTATATATACTTCAACTATTTTTATTTCTTCTAACTGTAAAGTTAGATCCAACAGTACGAAGCCAGATATTGCTTAGTTCTTTCATTTGTTTAGATTAGCAAACAATAGATTAAATAGAACAAAGTAAATTTTTTTAACTTGGAATAAAGCCATTTGATTTTGATTTAATGGATTAAATTATTAAATTCATATATTGTGAATTAAAATTTTAAATTTCTCAAAGGCAAAAATTTTAGTAATATTTGAAATTTGATACTAATCAGTAGCAAATTTTAATGTGGATAAGAAAATATGAATGTAATATATGTAGTTAATGCATTATGTAATGTATTTTACATTATTCATTAAAGTATATGAATTAGAGTAAAATTTCTTAACAAATTTTGCCCCTCCTTAATGAAAAGAACTCTCTCTTTAGGTTTTTAAATATCATTTTATTTAAATGTATTTTCTGATTTCCAAAATTAGGCAATATTTGACCTTGATGCAGGTGGTTGAAGGGTTGAATTTATCCTTAATTTTAAATATTTATTGAATTCATTTGTATTTTGCTTTAGGGTCTTTTTAGTGAATCTGCTAAAGTATTAGTTTTAGCAAGAGAACTATTCCCTCCTCATTCTGAGTATAGTAACATATGGCAACTAGCTGACTTATTAATCAAATTTGAGAAAGCATTATTCCATGGTAAATGGTCAAAAGCTCAGCAGATGCAGAAAGGTATTTCCATATTTGATGTGGAGGAATCTCGTTTAAGGTATGAATCAGTTATTATATGCAAGAATAAAAATTTTAATAATAGCTTTAGCATAATAATTATCTCCTTTTTCTGAGAAAGAAATAATGAAATGATTTCTAATCTCTTGTAGGAAAATTTATTTATCATATTTATTATTTTCCAAATGGGTTTCACTTCGTAGTAAAGTAAAAATTATCAAGATTTAAGGAAAATATTTATTGCAAGCCTTATGTGCAAGCAATCTAGTGAAATGCGAAACTATGCCTTAAGTAATTAAGTCTTTTATATATTAAATAAGCTATAAAACTTCTTATGAAAGTATTTGATGAAATAATATATTAAGTCTTGCTTTTACTACTTGGCATTATTACTTTAAACAGCCCAATTTAAATAGAAGATGTATTCAAAAAGTTCCTGTACTTTATTAATAGCATGCCAGTGTGATTTCATAGTGATGTCCAGTAGATGACATTGCATGACAGTAATCTTCATAAAGTTCTTCTCATTTGTTGGGTATTTAAAATTAATTAATCATTGTGTTATGTCATTTTTTTAAGTGCTTGTTGTGTCAGTTTTATGAATTTCAAAGTAGATCAGTTTTATGAACAGTGTATTAGTATGATTAAATGTAGGAAGAAATTTACAGAGATCCAAACAAATTAATGGTACCATTGTTTAATTTCTAAGTGATGTTATAAAAGATTTAAATGATTCAAAGATGGCGAACAACCAAACAATAATGATTTCCATTCAGAGTGTCTATCAACCTTAATTGACAAAAATCCTTGTAGCTGAAATTCATAAAATTGTGCATTTAAATCATTGATTGACTATACACAAAATCACTGATGATTGCAACATTTCAGTTGAATGTTACTATATTTTAATTGAGAAATTGGAAATTTGTCATATTGCTGCAAAAATTTGCTGCATATCTGTTGGCTGAGGATCAGGAAAATAATCGCATTGCATTTTTCCAGGAGCTTTTGGATCATGCAAATGAGAATTCATGGGAATGAAAGATTTCGTGGGAAAACTTAGCCCTAGTGATGATATATGAGTTTATGGCTTTCATATTAAAACAAAAGCAGTCTTCAGTATAGACTGTAAAGGGCAAAAAATGTTACAGATTAGATCAAAATCATCTCGACCTTTTTTTATATATATATATATATATATATAAATTAATATATATATAAATTCATATTCAATTTATATATATATATAAATTCACGACATATTACATCAATATATATATATATATTATATATATATATATATATATATATATATATTGATGTAATATGTCGTGAATTTTTGCCAGAAGGACAAATAATGAATCATTGATAATCTTGAACTCTTGAAATGACGAAGAGAAAACTGCAGAAAAAGGTAAAAAAATAGGATAAAACAAATCTTAGTTCCTTCATTGTGATAATGCAGCTCCCCATATATTTAATTCATACTTTTTGTGCTAAAACAGATACACCTATGTTTCCCAAGCTTCCTACTCTGCAAAATGTTTTATTGTAGAATTTTTCTAATGCTGAAACTGAATTTGATGCAGAGGAATGCAATCAAAATTAATATTCAAATAATGTAGATTCAATATAATCAATGAGATTAAAGTAAGTTTTCAAAAAGAACTGTTATATGCGATCCCACGAGAATTTAATCAAATTTGCTATATGAAATAAAATGGCCCTGGGAATGAAGAGTTCTTCAGAGGTGACAAAGTTGAATAAGCTGAGTCTGTGGGAGGGGAAATAAAGTGTGGATACTTTTTTAACATATCTGATATGTGAGTTTATGCTCCATGTCTTGAATTCCTGGAGGATTAATTCTAAAACTGGTAAGTTAATTATAACCATTTAACTTAAAATTGCTTAAAGGCATTAAACTAAAACCAGCATACGAAGCAGTTTTTTTTTTTTTTTTTTAAATTTTATGATGCTTATATTAGAATTTTAAGATATTTTATTAACATTTTGGAATGTTAATGGTAAAGTCTTTGAGGTGTTAGACTGCAAATTGAAGTTTTTTGATTACATTTAAGTTTTTATTTATTGCAGTATTTTAGCCTAAACATTGGCTTTAAATTTTTGTGGTATTATTATGTGATTTTTCTATCTGTAGCTTTTGAAATAATTGTTAAATATTTGTCAGTTAGTTCATAATTAATTTGTCTTAGCAATTGCTTTTTTTTTTTTTTTTTTTTTTTTCCTATCATTACTATGTATTAAAATCTAGATCTGTTTTTCAGGTTAGATTAAGCTATTATCTGATTTTAAAGCTTTTAACTTATTTTATTTTGCAGTTTTTTTAATTCTTTCATTATTCTGCATAACTTTGTGAAGGAATTGGTTCAGAGTATTAGTTTTATGCAAGATTGATAGTAATAAAATTATCTTACATGTTTACAGCTTTTTTGAGTAAACACAAGGTACAAATATGACATCTTAGGATTTTGGAATATATCCTATGGCATTTGTTTGAAAAGCGATAAGACACTCTTCTATAAGTTTTGTAATTTGTATTTCCATGAGAAAACTTTAATTTTTGGCTGCACTGAATAAAGTACGTGGCAGGAGGCAAAAGTTCAAAGACTAGGGATGTAGTTCTTAATCTTGAATAGTTCAAAATAGCTATGCATAAACATCTTCAAAATAATCCTCTTTTGTACACTTTTGCTGGTGCTCATGTAGCTTTTGAAAGTTTTTATGTGATCATCTTTTGTCAGAACTTGTAATGCTTTCTTTGATGATGCTATTACCTCAGCTATTGACATAAATTATCATCTGTGCATTGTTTTCATTAGAGAAAAGATGTTCAGGTTATGAACTGAGGTGAAAAGTCATTATGTAAAAACATCTTTGTAATATTCTAGTCACAAAATCTGTAACCATTTACAGAGACATATGCAGGTGCGTTCGCATGGGAGAATTCATTTCACATAACATATTAAAAACTTCCTTTTTTATGATTGGATTATTTACATGTCTATATTTGTGATTTTCTTACACAGTTTGGTGGGAAGGCTCATGCAACTTTTTTACTTTTGTGTTTGAAATGAAGACAATTCAAACTTGCATATGAATAATAATGATACTTAATTTAAACATCACTATTGGGTCATTCTTCCAAAATAATTTGATACTTTTTTGACACTCAATAAAATATCCATTGAATTAAGATTTTTCCTTAACTGTTATGTGGAGAGGGGAATTGGTTAAACTGAAATTTGACTGTATAGAGATATACTTAATCATATATTTTTATTTGTTTGAATATAAATTTTTATTTTTCCCCCTCCATTATATTTCAGAAAAGCACAGCTGTTCTTAAACCAAGGCAATTTTGCTGAAGCTGATAAAACACTTAAAAAGCTTCTTGAGGGGTGTGAAGCCTCACATACAGTAGCTCCTCATTTCTATGTCAGGTTTGTTGGAAAAAAAAACAATTTTAATTATTGAAATTATGTTTATTTGCTCTTATTCACATTGTGTGTTGTTCCACATATCTGTTTTCCTCTTTTCTGCCCAAAATGTTTGCATAGCAGTATTTATTTATGGTATATACCAATGAATGTTTGTTGCAGGCAAATAAAAGTATATAAAATGCTTCAATTTAGCTGATAGTTATTTACATGTAATATTTATTGAAGTGAAATGGTTGATAAAACTCAAAACTATTTTAGATTTGAAGAAATAGCCACTTATAAAGAATTTTGTTAATTTTCCCTTTATTTTATCTGTCTGAGTAGGACTTACCAGTTACAGACAGCATTGCATAAAGATTTATATTAAAATAGCCAATGTCCAACCCAGAAATGGAAATAATCGTTGTAGTCAGTAAATAACTGCAAGTCAATGTATAGTATCATATTCGTGTTTTCAGTGGCAACCATGTTTTTTTTCATCCTTTTGTAGCATATAATTAGTTAGTTTATGCTAATTAATTGTTCTCCATCCTTTTTATTCAGTGTGCATCTTCATGATTTGCCAAATGCAGAATCTCCTGCTATTTACTGTTTTCAGAAATTATAGAATTATTCTAGCCTCTTGAAGGTTTTCATAGTTTCATGAAATGAAGTTGTATATCATAGGAAAAAAGATCAGGTTTGCATGCAAAATTTGCAAGAAAAATGCTGGAATTCAACAAGGTAGTTATATTTCTATTGCAACTGTGATATGATTTATGTGGCCAACATAGTTTATATCGATTCAATTCTAAAAAGACAAACTCAATATGTCATTAAATAGTTGTTTGTTGAAACAGTGACTTAAGAGATTTGAAATTATTTTGAAGATGAAAGGAGGAAGGAAAAAGAAGAATTTAGTAGACTTAGTCTTATTATCAAGGTCAGTGAAATTTGTTTACAAAGAGAAAAGGAATATTGATCAATGTTTTCTACCTCAGTGGAGTGTTTGATGGAATTTATCAATAAACAGAAAGACTTGTTTTAATGGAAACAAGAAATTTCTTTCTTCCCCCTCCCCCATATAGAGGAGCCAAATATCTGTTGTAAGATATCGAAGAAAATGTAAATTGAGGCAGTGCAGCATATTGATTGCTAGAAGGGCCACGAAACAGAAGAACTGGAAAATGTAGGTTTAGTCACCTAAAAGCGAGGCTTATGTATGATTTTATTGAACTTCAACCTAGAATTCATGTGTAAATCATTGAACATGCATGGGGAGCAACAAAATGGAAGAACAAAAATCATTATAGGCCTGGATGTGATCATTTACTTTATAAGGTATTTGTCGCCCCCCCCTCCCTTCTTGGCATGCCTTCATGGTGTACTGGTGAGCACACTCGGCGAGTATTCGAAAGGTCCGTGATTCGAGTCCCGGTGAGGGCAATGCTCATTTTTCATGTCTCTTGCTTCTAAAAATCATAATATCTCTACAACTTTCTTATTTAGTAGGATTTATGTGGTAAATATTTTGAATTTATTTGATAAATACTTTTTAATTTTATCATATAATAAATTTAAAAAAAAACTCAGTTAAAAATCAGCAGTTGCAGTACTATAGTAATGTGCAAAATGTAAGCAATAAATTCATTTTTCTGCATAAAAGCATGAAATTGTTGTAAAAAACTTTATGTGATAAGTACTATGAAAAGCGAATTAAATAGAAAAGTGATGCATATGCGGATAGCAGTAGTATGATGTCAAAGGGTATGTCAGAGCATGCAAAACACAAGGAGTCAGGGCAGTTTAAAAAGAAGAAAGGAAAGCTCATTTCCAGCCATTCTTGTGCAAATGAAAGTGAGATTGTGTGTGTAGTATGGCTCAAGAAAACATCAGGATGCCTTTATATGGGGTAGAATGATTGGCAAGCTTTAGGATGATGTAGTTTGATGTCTGCTGCCCAAGAGTTTCAAGTTGATAAAAGTGCTGTTTCACGAGCTCAGAAAGCTTTCTAGATGCCAGATGCAGCTGTAAGAAAAGTTGGTGGTGATCGACCAAGGAAAACAGCCTTAAATGATGATCGTTATCGAACTGCGGGCAAAAGAGTTCGAAACCCTACATAGCACATTCGAAACCCTACACAGAAATTGCTTAGCAGCTGTGCAAGTTAACCGAACAACAGATGACTTTATTTGCCCACTGTCCTGAATGTCACGTATCATTAACACAGCATATCAGCAGCACCAATTATAGTGGTGTAGAGAACACAAAGACTGGGCACCTCATCAATGGAGTCACGTCCTCTTTACTGATGAGAGTCATTTCAGTCTGAAAAACGATTCTTGGCACCATTTGATATGGAGAGAGTTAGGTATATGCTTCTACATCATCATTCTACTAACATCAGGAAAAGTGACTATTGTGGTGGTCCTGGCATGCTTGTATGAGGAGGCAATTTGCTGAACAGACAGATGAAGCTCTGCATTTTTAGCAAATATCGTAATCGCATATTGTTACTTATCAGAGATTGTTATTGCAATGAAGTTATCCTCCCTCACATGCATCTTTTCTGAGGTGCCATTGATTCTGGCTTTCTTTCTATGGTTATAATGCATGGCTGCTCAGGTTTCATGCTCTTGAAAAGCTCCTGGAAAGTTAAGATATCCACAGAATGGATTGACCAGTGTTCTTCCCTGATTCAAATCCCATTGAAGATGTGCCAGTTCTGATTGAGAAGATATCTCGTGGTATAATCTTTCGCTCTGCAGAACACCAGACAACCGAAACAGATTGAACGGAAGAAACCTTGAAGAATGGAAATTCTTACCCCAAGAACTGTTGAAATAAACAAAAAGAAAATTTAGTGATTGATGCAGAAACAAGATTATATTTTTTAAATGTTGAGTTGAATAAAAGTGAAGTGAAGGTATTTTTCATTTCAGTGTGAGCTTTTTTTAACTGCACATCGCACATCATATATAGTTGATAAATTGCAAAATTAAAAGATATGAATGGGTGTATTAATACAAAATATTGCAGACTGTAATGGTTGCTCCTTTAATAATACCTCATTCAAGTGCAACTTGCAAAAGAATTTTTTTCTATTATTGAAAAAAAAAAAAAAAAAAAATACAGATTGAATTTTAACCAAATTTAAGTATGAAAACTCTTGAAGCAGTTCTGATTGAGAAGATAAATATGCAGGTAAATGAAAACTTTATTATATATATTAAAAAAAAAAAAATTCTATAACTCAAAACTACTTACTAGTATTTGTGCTAAGATACTAAAGCACAGCATTTATGCATCTTGTCAACACCAGTACTGGCAATTTGGCTCATAAAGTTTTCTAAGTAGAAAGTAATAAATTGAATTAAAATATAGACTTATCAAAGACCTGAATTTGATATATCTTTCTGTGATAAGTTTACAAAATTGTTTTTGGCATTACTGAATATTTAATTATAAATGTTCTATCTATTATGTATTTTTCATTGCTCATTTTATCGCCTTCTACATCCATTTTTGTTGTTTTATATATATGTAAGATGATCTTCAATACTGTGGAATTACATGATGTAATTCATATAGATAAGGTAATTACAAGAATTAGAAGTAATTTAAAAGAAAATATCAAAATATTTATATGATAGTCACCTGTTGAGTGTTGAAAGGTAAAAGCTTTTCGTATGCCTTAGAAGTATGCCTTATTTGTGCCTCTCCTGCATATTCACATCTTTTTATATACAGTATAAGATATTGATCTTAACATAAAACCAACACAACTTTTATTTGAGGTCTACTATCTCACTATCTGGTTGTTTGCTGCTTTACCTTATATATGTCGTATGTAGCCTGGTAAAGCTAAATTCATCTAATGGACCTGCTAGATTTGGAATAGATTATTACCAAGAATTTTGTCTTATATAAACAAAATATATTTCCAGCTAGTAATTGTAAATTTTTTTATAGCAGAGTTTTCGTGGAAAACTACAAAATAGTAAAGTAATAAGAAATGTATAATCTAAATCACTGATCTTAAATTGCATACATGCTGAATGCATAATCTCAAAGTAACTGAGGAGCTTTTCACATTTTTAGTAATATTTTTTTTTTTCCCCCTAAATATACTTCAGCAGAAGAGCAAATTGTCATTTCAATTTAAATTGAAAAAGGATAGTTGTCAAACATGCAACTGGAACAAAAACCACTGGAAAAAAAAAAGTGCATAGGGTGGCAACTACTTTCCCATTTTTAGTTGGATGAGTGCAATATCCCCTTTATTATCTTCTTACCATTATGGTAATTATC